GGTGCAGGGCGCCGAGGCGAAGTTTCTTACCTGCGCCGGGGCTGGGAACGCGGAGACGCGGCACGGGCGTTCCAAAATGGAACTCTGCTGGCTGCCCCCACCCACTCCCCACTCCCCACCGGGCTCCCGGCTCGGGCTCCGTGGGAAAGAGGGAGAAAGCCCGCCCGCCGGACAGACAGACAGAAAAAGCCCCCGTACGGACGACAGTGGCCAAAATTTAAAAAAGAAAAAAAAGAAAAAAAAAAAAAGAAGGGAGGAAAAAAAAAAGAGGAAAAAAAAAATGTCTCGATCAGTGGGGAATCTACGCCAAAACCCACATGATCTGTAACGTCAGCATGCGTATTTGCATACGATACCACCACCCGAGCTGCCACCCGGGCTCGGGTTCCGCAGAAAGTTACAAAGTGAAATTCAGCCCCCTCCGGAGACGCCGGCGAAATGTCATTTTCAGGCGGGAGCTGGGGGGGACTGGCGAGGGGGGACGCTAGCCCTCAAGGCACTGGTTACTAGCCAAGGTTGGGGTGGGGGGCAGCGAATTAACTTATAAGTCTGAGCCCAGTAACGGAGTCGGTGGAATTTCTGTGAGGGGAGGAGGTGGGAGGCGTGAGTGAGATCATTGAATATTAAGTACGACCCGCGCGGCGGCCAAGGCCGAACCCTCCCAGTGCAATACCCATTTTCTTTATGAAAAGTTCAAGGTGTCACTGATGAGCTCTGCAAACTGTTGATCCTGACCACGTGGAGCGGCGGACGGAGGGACCGCAGGGCTCCGTTGCTTGCCCTGCGCGGGAGGCACCCAGGACCCCGTGTCCCTCCCGCGGCGCGAGGGGCAGCGCGTGGGTGGGGCCACCACGCGCCCAGGGCGCCGCCTGAGCCTTCTCTCATCTTTGGGCTCAGGGAAATAATAATTACTAATTTTTTTTTGTTGTTGTTTTGAAAAGCCAGACACATTTTACCCCTGAACTAATAATGAGAGAGCTTGGGGTAGGGAGGTTAAGAAAAAAAGCCCCTAGTTATATAACGACTTGAAATTAGGTGACTTTTGACGAGGGATTCTGAGATTGCCGCTTGCGCCAGGTCCAAGGTTGGTTAAAGATCCTCAAACTTTTTTTTTTTTTCCCTTAAGAGTCAATAAACAAACACACGCCCTGGGAGCTGACTTCAACTCTTGCGCGGCCGGCGTTCGCTGCGATTCTCAGACTCGGAGAAATGCACACTCCTGCGGCGCTGGCAGGGGAGTCCCTTAGAAGCGAGGCGGGTCACTTTCAGAGTCGGGACCCCCGACGGTCTCGGTGGGAGGAGATCCCTAACCGCCACCGCCCCCTTAGAGCACCGACGGGCGGGGATCTAGCTGCCCTTCGCCTGCGGTCTCGGGAACCGTGAGCTGACGTCCTGGGCGACACGCTCTTGCAACAGTGCTCGCTTCAGGAGCTCTAAGCGAATCGGGATCCAGGGCACGCTTGAGAATCTCACCGGGCAACCTGTCGGCCCCACACGTTCCTGCCCGGATGGACCCGTTTCCCCTCTGTGGGCATCTCCACGCGTTCGCATCTCCTGTGCGTGAGCTGAGCGCGAGCGCGCACGAACTGAGCGAGGGCGAGGAGATGCTGTGTGGGGTCTACTTTTGACGCTCTGAGAAAACAAAGGGTGCCTGGGACTGGGAGGTTCAGCGGAGTCCCCGCCTGCCCTGAAGATTAGCAGGCGCGGAGCGTTGGGGCTTCTCGGCCAGCCTCTGCTTCGGGGAATTAGAACGAACTCTAGCGGTGGTTTGGTACTCGGCTCTGGGCGCGAGGGCAGCAACAGGTGGCCATGTGCAGCTGAGTGGCGGTAGGCAAGGACGGAGACTGGGTCGGGGACAGCTGGTCTTGGGAGATGACTGCTGGGCAAACGCACTTGGTGACCTTTTTGTCTTCTTCTTCTTTTTTTTTTTTTTTTCTAGGGTGGGGAGAAGAAAGCAACCGAAAGGTTCTTCTAGGGTCTCTCCCTAGGGCTCCAATTTCTCTAACACGGACGCGTGGGGCCCCAGAAATTGTTACAATAAAAATAAAAATAGCTCATATGCAAAACTTTCTTACTGGCGTGCACCTGTTTGTTCGGTTACTGCTGATGCAGGGTCGGTTTGTTTTTTCACGAGGCATAAAACAGGATCCTGATCTAGGAGGGAGTCACGTGTGATACTCAAACACCTGAGAGGTGGACTGCCCGGCTCTTAAAGATGCTGTTAATAACTCCGTTAATGACTGTGACCCCGACTGCATCACATCTTTCTCAGACTCATCTGATTCCCATTGTCTAAGATCTTCAAATATTTGCCATCCGCGTCTGATGCCTTCAACATCAGAATTTAGGAATGCTGTTTTTTCTTCCCTCAGGGGTGTGTCAGCAGAGTAAAAGAACCGCCTCCCACTCCAACTTTAATATTTTTACGTTTCTTACCCTTGACTCTTCCAAGAAAGAATAAAGTCTTATTCTTTCTTACTCTTACTCTTGACTCAGGTCATTCCACCACTTTCCCGCTCCTTTTAAATAAGTATAGTTCTCAGTTTGTTTCCCTGGACATTACTGAACCACCTCAGGAAGCTATTCCTATTTTGAGGTTGCGCTTCCTTTGGATAGCCCATCACTTGGAGAGTTTCTGTAAGCCGAGGTTCCTTCACCATTACCCCGTTAGCACCTGCTTCTGGCTGGATGAGAGATTCATAGGGTGGGAAGGGTCAAGGTGTAGCCAAGCAGGGTAAATAAACCCTCTGGCCTTTCTCTGGGGGTTCTCCTGTCTTCAGGGCACTTGGTTCTCATGGGCACTGTGGGGGTTTTGGATGCCCTGCACTGTTCTTAGATTGGTCAAAGTTTAATGTGGACTGAACTTTCACTATGTAAACAAACAGCAGGGAATAAAACAGGGGTGACTTTTGCAGTAAGTGTAATGATTCCAGTTTGCTTAATGTGTAGGTGGAGTAGGCAAACCCTAATCTGTTATGATTCAGGAGCTTTGGAATCAATAACTGTAAGAGTAATATTTATCGAGTGTTTTTGTATGCAGATGCCAGTTGCTACTTAATCTTCTCCATAACCTATCAGTCAGTGATTCTCAGAGGGTTTTTTTTTTTTTTTTAGTTTCGGTTTTCTTTTAAACTTAAACTTGTTGAGGACCCTAAATAGCTCTTGTTTATGTGGGAAATACATGTAGATATACACAGATATTTACCCTATTAGAAATTTACCATATTAGAAATTAAATTGGAGAAAAAATAAAACATAGGAATTTACAAACACTTTCTATTAGCCATCAGAGCAATGATATCATTTCCATGTCACATAGCCTATGGAAAACTATTGTATACTTGTGAGAAAATGGGTGTGAAGAGGGCGAGTGACATTTTAGCACTATTATGAAAATGATTTTGACCTTGAGGTCCCCCTGAAAGGGTCTTGGTGTCCTCCAGGGTCCCAGATTATGTTTTGAGAACCACCGTTAAGGTATGTTATATTATGCGTATTTGCAGATCAGGGAACCAGGACTCAGAGAAATGTACTCACTTACTGGAAGCAAATGGAGGAAACAAGGATTTAACCCAGGTTCACTGGAGTCCACTGCCTGAGTTCTTAATGATTGCACAAGTCCACTTTCTGTTACAATGCGAGCTCCACCCCCAGCCTACAACAGCCTCTTGGGCTTCCCAAGACGACTTTTATTAACGGCAATCACATTCTGAGGCCCCACCAGGTGCCAGGCACAGTGCCAGCCCTTCAGATGCATTATCTTGTCAAATTCTCAAACCGTCTACCCCTGTGGGTATTGTTTTCAATCCTTTTACAGATGACAAAACTGCAGTTCGGGGAGGTTAAGAAACATCTCCAAAGTCACTCGGCCAGTAACTAGTAGAACCTGGATTCAAATCTTTGCCTGGTGGCTTCAAAACAAACAAAAGACAAGAATCCATCATGGTGCTTTATAGAGGCCTAGGGAGGAGAGAGTAGTTTCTGTCTATAATCTGGTGACAACGAAGCCTGGCTAGGACGTCTTAAAAATTTAGAAATGGCAGGAGAAGAAATAAATAAAAACCCAGCATTATCCTTGAGGAACCCTGCATCTAATGCAATAAATTCACACTGGCTTACAAACCCTAAGCAGCCGTGTCAGGCCCAGCAAAGATTTGGAATTAAGATAAGAATTGCAGGGTCACCCTTTCCCGCCATCTGATCCCTGCACGTGCATGCTAGGTAAATATATATATATATTTTAAAGAAAACAATACAGAGAAGCAAGTAAGAAAAGCAAACCAATTATCAGCTGTCCAACCATCTAATGGTGATAATCCTTCCATATGCTCATTTATTTAATTTTTTTTTTTTACATTATAAGACTCTTAAGAGAAATGAAAACTATAAAATATCAATTTACAAACTGTAGCACAGATCAGCTACCACTTATAACAAAGCAAGACAGGGCATGGCTTTTTGGAACATTCACATGCTTTAGGGAACACCTACAAGTGAGAGGAGAAAGGGAAAACGCTACACAGATACTGTTTCCTTCCATGTCGGCAACACCTCACCCACCCCGCGGTTTGATATAAAATGTTTCATGCCTTGAGAAGAAATCCCATGGCATTGGTAGGATCTGAGATGGGTCTGGGTGTTTTCAAGTTTAGCAGGAACTTGACTTAGCAGCGACTTGAACCTGCTTGGAGTATAGAACTGAACGTTTATAAAATGGGGAAGCTGGGAGTATATTATTTATTCGATTTCATGGTCTAGTTTGATCCTTGCATCATCCCTGGAAGGTGAGCAGAATTGGTGCTATTATCCCCGTAGTACAGAGGAGGTGACTTATAAAGGTTAGAGTAATTAGTTTAGGTTCGCAGACTAAATTCAGAACCATGATTTAAATCCACCTCTTGTAATTGCAAGGCCAGTGCTATTTCTGTGCCTCTTTTTCACCATTTTCTATTGCACCCAAAAGAGGACTAAATGTAGCCACTATCTGACACTGTCCCTCTTTTTATTTGCAGAGCCCTGGAGGAGAATTATCACTCCAAAGGTCTTTTTATCCTATACCATTTCATATATATTTCTTCATTTATTTGTCTGTCTCCTCACAAGAATGTAAGGTTCCTACAGGCAAGTGCTTTGTTTAGTTCACTGCTATATCCCCAACTTAAACCTGCCTGGTGTATTGTAGGTGCACAGTAAGTAATGGCTGAATGAATGAGTGAATGAATGAAGTGCATTTCTCGTTAAGACTCATCCAGTAATGGGGAGCCAGTGCTGTTCAATAGCACACACGCCTCCTGTTTACCTAAAATGATTTTAGCTAAGCGCTGCATTTTCCTAAGGTCAAAGCTTTTGTTTCTATGGAACATGGACTTTGTGTTAGGTGAGGAAACGCATAGGTGGCCCCCTTTATCTGCGTTACCAGCGTGAGAAACATTAGCTCTGCATTTGTCCTTAGGCATCTGTTCCTCTGACAAGATCATTTTACAGGTGGGGAAACTGAGGCTTCTGGTTGGTGGCAGTGCCAACACTACAACCCAACTCTCCCAACTTCTGACTTATGTGAATTCCCATACAGATTTGCTTGTAAACAACAAAGCCTCAAGCCTGCCAGAGAGAAACAGAGCTGTGCCTTCGGAAAATACATGAAAGAGCTAAGAAAGATCTGTCTAGCCAAGTATTGTGGGGGAAAAGGCTTATGGGGAGGGGACAGGAAGCACCTGTTACAAAGGTGTGGTAGGGGACAGATGGCAAGACGTGGTTATAGGGGCCCATGAATTTGTCTTTAAAGTAGGGATAATAATGCCTGCTGGCTTTCTTCCT